CATTTCCTATGAAGGTCATCTTTGCATTTAAGCATGATTATATGGTTAATTTAATTACTGTGTAATACTTATGTGATCTGTTGTCTCTCAACTTACATTCATATAAGCACAGTCTTATTTAACCTAAAATATATTAACATATGATTAAGGGATCTTCAGAATATTAATAAGTCCTTTTGTATAAATATATATAATTTCATAATTCATTATGTATGTTACCCATGGCCATGGAATTCAGACTTACTAAATGGTGATCAAAGAGATATTAATTAGGAATCTAATAAGAGAAAAAGGAAGAATTTACAAAAGATTAATTCTAAGTTATTTACTTTTTGTTTTGATTCTAAATATGTGTGATATATGGTATACATATATTTTCATTTTCACTTTTGTTTCTTGGTAATGAGCTTTTCAAAAAATTAAGGACTACATGTTGTACTGTGATGATGCTAAAAAAAATGTATTTTTCTGTTTGCAGTACTGACAGGTATTAAACCAAAATTGAATCTGCTGTTAATAAAAAGTCTTTTAGTGTCTAAATAATTAATTAAAAACAATTTTTTGAGATTGAAAACAAATATTTTCATGATCTTTTTTGGCATTGTTCATGTTGTATTTAAACATGCATTGTTTCATGCAGTACTCTGTCATATTAACAAAATGGTTTTATTTCTACAGTCATCAACATGGAAGATATGTTTTGTTCCTAACCATCTGTAATCAATTCTCTATGAAGTTCAGACTGTCTGCTCTTCCTTTGGAAATACACAGTTAGTCAATCAACATAGAAACACACAAACTTGAAGGTAAAGTTTCAATGAGATACAATTGTAATTTTTATTTATCTATTTATTTATTTATTTATTTATTTATTTACATATGCATTTTTATATTTTTGAATTGATAAGTAAATGATATATGATTTTTTTTAAATAAAGAGGGCTTGGTGGTCATGGTCATGTTTAAACTCTATTGATATCCTTTAGAAGAAGAAAAGGCATAAAAATTCATGATCAAATTTTTAAAACTAAAATGTATGAAATTTTTCTTTGCCAAATGATAGTTAACAGCTGAAGATAGCATATTTATAGAATAAGTTAAATATGACTAATTTGTTAACCCCCAGCTTCCTTAATAGCATAATTGGTAAAGATAGGAAGTTTTGGCTTTAATTGCTGATGAATTCTGAATTTTCCATTTAATATTAACATTCTATCAAAGAGAAAGAATACTATAATGTGGCTCATTAGGATGACCAGAAAAGAAATCTTAATAACCCTCTTGACTATGTATAAAGATTGTAACCTTATAACTGATGTAAGATGATCTGATTGTGTGGAAATAAAATTTCCTGGTGTTTCTACTACCCAAGATCTTCTTATGAGTGTATGGGACTGCTGTAAACCTTCTCCTGTTTATAAAAATAATACCTTGGAGCATGACACTTTATTCATAAAAGATACTTTCAATATCATTTCTATGAGTTTGTGTTCTTTCTTTTTAATAATCTAGTGTTATATCTCCTTTAACCTCATTAATATGTATGCTTCCAACATCTTAGATCTGTCTGTATAGTTTCTTCAGCTCTTTGAACACAAATACCCTGATTCAATCTTTTGAGGTAAACATCATAGAGACATCATAGATCATTATCAGAGTGTATATATCACAATCTTGACCATAAGGTCAATTTAAATGGTCAAAGGCACAACAAATGAAAGTGAAAACTTTTCTTTTTTTTTTTTATCAGAATACATAATTTTGTAATAAACAAACACTGGAAAGTTACTCTCATAATGAGCCTTAATGTCTTCCAAGAGTTCAGTTTGGACTTCCTCCATTAATCCTTGTATCTTGTAATCCTTGTATCTCCAATGGTTTTGTGGGCTAAAAATCATGTGTCTTTAACAATCTTTTTTTTCTGACAACTGTTTTCTCTTATCATCTATAAACTTGACTTCTTCTCTAGTCAAAGGTCTTTCAGGGTAATCCAAGTAATTCTCACCCTCCTTTGGTAATAAATAATATTCTTCATTGGCTTCTTCTGCAATCAAGGGTCTTTCTATGTAATCTCTGACAACATTAGGATCACCCTTTTCTGGACATAATTGGTTATATTCTTCTTGAGAAATGATCTCAATAGTGCCATCTTTTTTTATTTTAACTGGTATACCTCTGTCTACATCTTTCTCTGAAAGAATTCTCTCTCCGAACTGAATTTTACTCATTCCTTTACTCTTTTCTTTACTAGAGGTGTTACCCATGGTTAATATGAAAAGTCAAAATCTTATGTTACAACTTGTTTTTATACCCTTTTTGTCTATATGTAGAATTCCATCAAGCTTATATTACATTACAATTTTTTTTTTCAACTAAGACATTATTTTTTTTATTTTTTCAGGATTCTCTAGTGAGAGGTTATGGAAATGATCTATGTCTACTCTTAGAATGGTGAAAGACTCTCAGATTATGCAAAGACTAACAGAATATCCTCTCTTGGAACACTGAAACAAGAAAACCAAACTTAAGAGGATGGAGGATTTAAGAAGAACATAAATATGATTTCCATCGAATTTAACCAGTACGATCATAGACTGTGGTTTATACAGGATGACAAAGAAAGGACCCAGGATTGTATGTTTCACTGTGAGACACTGACTATGGATAAAGTGTAATCATTTATCAAACTGAGATCTAGTCAAATCAAGTATTGAAAATATGATTTTCTGATAGCATGAGCTCTTTAAAAACTATTTCTCACGGACCTCAACGTATCTGAATGTGACTTTTATTTTTACCAATTCATATTGAAGACTGTTGTTATGTATTGGGAATCACACATTTAAACCTTTTATTTTTCCTCTAATTTTTACAACCCCCTAGAAATTACACAGATATCCAGATGCTGGATTTAATGGCATTATTTAACTTTCCTGGAATTGTAAATATATTTTGTTTGTGTATGTATCATGTTTAATTTTGAATTTAAAATTTGTCTCAATAGGACCCCCATAAAGATGTAAGTGTCCCATAATCTGTGATGCAATAATATCTTGAATATTTGTTGTCATCCCATATACTTCATAATTACTACATAAAGACTGATTGGAGGAATACACTTTGTTGTTTGGGACACTTTATCAAGGTCAAAGCATGAGATTATTGAGAAGACTACTTTGACAATAATTTGTAACTTACAAACTTCACATCATAAGTACATAAATGAAGAATGAATAGGATGAATAAGAGATTTCTTAAGAAATCTTGGATCATGTTTCTCCTGAATAAAAACCAGTTACTGAGATAAATGATATGAGTCTTGCAATAACTTCAACATTTTGTAATAAATATAGAAAATATGATTTTCTGATAGCATGGGCTCTTTAAAAATTAATTCTCACGGACTTCAGAGTATTTAAATGTGACTTTTATTTTTTGCCAATTCATATTGAAGACAGTTATTATGTATGATAAGTATACATTTAAACCTTTTATTTTGCATCTTATTTCTATAACCCCCTAGAAATTACACAGATATTCAGATGCTAGATTTAATGTAATTATTACTTTCCTGGAATTGTAAATGTAACGCTAGCGGTTCTGCTAACTGTATATGGTATAAATAATTTAACTCAACTTCCTTCATAAATGTACCATTCGCAAAGAAGACATAAGATTATAAACATTAAACAATTAAATTTATTAAATGTATTATCAACAAACAATTTATTTCAAACGACGACATTCACACCACATTCATACCAGATTAACAATAATAAATTAAGTTTTAATAAATTAAATAAGAAAAATCATAGCGTAAAACAGACTGAAAAACCACCCAAAAATCTATCGTCTATTTCCCAATGTCTAATAATGAAATCAAGTCGTAGTTATTTATAACTTTGACTTGTAAAACTTAACACAAGCTTTACTGTATGTAACAGGTTAGCTTGTTAATCTCCTAAACTCTTTATTAAAACGGGACACAAGCCGTAGTTATTTATAACGTTGACTTGTTAAACCTAAAAGCAAGCTTTACTGTATTAACAGTTTCAGCTTGTAAATACTACGGGCCATAAATGTTATTGAATCCGATAATCTTTATTAAGTTTCAAGTAAAATAAAAATTAAATTCTGAAATTCTCTAATGAAAAATTCTATGAAAAATTCTAAAGATAAATTTACGTATCTAGAAAAATTAAATTACTGAATCTAAACAAAATAAAAATTGACTTTCGTTGAATTAATCAACTTTAGTCATCATAAAAGAGAAAGATAGCAAACGTTTAACTTTTGTTACATAGTTTGCCGTAAAATAAAAATTAAATAAATGTAGAGTAAAATTGTAAAATAAAATAATCCTAGAAAAATTAATTACAGAAAAGAACTACTCAGTCATAGACTATTGAGTTCTTAAAACTACCGATCACGGACAATAGTATTTTACTATTTAATGTCCTTCACGGTTAAATCCTATCCTAACTAAATAAATGAAAAATAAAAATAAATTCCTAAATAAATTAAAAGATAGACAAAAATAAAAGTTAAAATAAAATCCTATCAAAAATCTACAAGCTCCGTAAAACGGTCCTACCAAATCAAAATAAGCAGAAGAGTGACTAGAATTTCTCAGCGTCTAACTTTTATATGACTCTAGGACAGAAAATGACAGAAAAAGACGGAAAATGCTGGAAAAAGACGGAATTATTAATTATGAAATTTCATTGGATTAATAACTAATGATCAATTATATCGAGCAATCTGATTGGTCAATAGTAAAACATCACGACCTTTCACGTGAACAAGTGCTACCAAATATTCTATACAAATGTAAATTCATTCTTTCTCACATATTATCAATTAAAACAAAATATATTTCACAACAAATAATTTAAACAAAACATATTAAACTCAAAACAATATTAAGTTCATCTCAAAATACATTCATTCGTAAGATAGCGCCATTTATACTCAATAAATTTATCGACTATACAACAATAGGAGAACAATTTATCGAATAGATTAACAAGTTTCTAAACCGGAAGTACATCGTACAGCAGAGTTCCAAAACTGACAAAATGTGCCAAAAGAAGTTTAGACTGTTTACAGGTATCATTTCAATTAAGTAACACTAAACAAACAACAATCACATGCTTTTACATACAGTTATAGTCTTGCAATATATACGGAAGTAATAGTTTACAAATGGCTCACTTTACAAATCTCCTACCAAACTCTAACTCAGTTCGAATTATCTCTGTCATGTTTACATTATCAACATACAATGATACAATTTACTCTTGATTCCAACTATTTAGAAATACAATTACATAACTTAAGTACATCTTTGCGAACAGCACATTCAAGTAAAATAAAACAAATCTTTTTGAATAACAAACTTCATCAACCCGCTCCAAATTACTATAAAGCATGAAAACATATTACAGTCATTGACTCTATTTGATAGAAAAATCAACCCGCTCCAAGCTCACACAATTACAGTAAAGTATTACAGTCATTGAATCAGAATAAAACTGTGTGAATAAACAAGCTTCATCAACCCGCTCCAAATCACCATAAAGCATGAAAACATATTACAGTCATTGACTCTATTTGATAGAAAAATCAACCCGCTCCAAGCTCACACAATTACAGCAAAGTATTACAGTCATTGAATCAGCATGAATAAACACTATATTGTGGATTAAATAATAAATGTCGTATATCCTAACTACATTACATAAAATTAAAAAGGGGGGGTCACATACACTACAGTAAATATATTGTATTTGTGTATATATGTATGTGTATTGTACCCTATTTTTAAATTTAAAACTTGAAATATGATAAAGGTCCCTTAGTATCCCACATCAAGATGCAGTTACCCAGTAATCTGTGATGCAATATCTTGAATATTTTTATCATCTCATATACTTCATGCTTACTACACATAACAGCTTATAGAAATACACATAGTTTTAAAGGACACATTTGTCAAGGTCAAAGCATGCGATTATTGAGATAACTACTTTTGAAAATAATTTGTAACCTACAAACTTCACATCATAAGTTAAGAATGAATCGGAGATTTTCTATAGATTTTAAGATCATTTTTCTTCTGGGTAAAAGTCAGTTGGTAAGATTACTAATATGAGCTTTGTAATGTTGAAACTTTAACATTTTGTTATAACCTAGAGACTTTATATCTCTGTTATATTGGGTGACGTGGCATATTCTTTGGAAAGAATTGGAAATGTAAATCAAATGCACAACAAGGATGTTTAAAGACTATTACTATGTATTACCTAAGAATTCTGTAAAAAATCTTATTATCACTGCATAGATAAAGACTAGTTGGAATAATATAAGTTTTGAACTAAGGTCAAGGGGAAAACCCATTCATAAATAGATCTGCATGGGGAAGACTCCTCTAGATCTTCATTCAAAAGTAAAGAAAGTATTTTTTTTAAGTTTGAAAGATTGAATGGCAGCATATCATTTGCTTATGAATTTAAAATGAATCCAAACATATACATCTTTAGATGGTGACTGTAGAATTTTTTCAATTCCTGGACTTTCTGTCTTGATATTTTCCTTTATTTTCTGTAAAATTTAATGATTGTCTTTTTTAGTTTAGTTGCATTAGTTTCTTTTTGGCATGTAAAAAATGACATCATCCAATTTGAAAGAAGTTCATCTACATTTTATACTGTAAACCAACTTTTATTCGCGTTAACTTTTATTCGCGATTTGTCAGTTTGAAATCGATCCGCGACGATTATTTATCGCGACTGAGGATTTATTCCATACAAATACAAAGCAAAATAAATGGTTCGCGGCGATTAATTTTCGCGAGTTAAAGTTGATCGCGAAACTCGCGAATATTTCTCGCACGCGAATAAAAGTTGGTTTACAGTATTTAGGAGAGAATTTTTCATCAAAGGTTTCATTTTTGTTTATATGGAATGCTAAGTTCTGTTGATTTCCCTTTTTCCTACTAAAGACATACCAGTAGAGT